TTAGTGGCTATAGATTACTTCACCAAATGGGTTGAAGCTGCCTCTTATGCTAATGTCACAAAAGGAGCAGTGTGCAGATTTCTAAAAAGAGAAATCATTTGTAGGTATGGAACACCTGAAAGGATCATCACAGATAATGCATTGAATTTGAACAACGATTTAATGAAGGAAGTTTGCACAAAGTTAAAGATCAAACATCACAATTCGGCTCCTTATCGCCCAAAAATGAATGGGGCAGTAAAGGCAGCGAATAAAAACATCAAGAAGATCATCACAAAAGCAACTGAAACATATAGGGACTGGCATGAGAAATTACCTTTTGCGTTGCTTGCTTATCGCACGTCCGTTCGTACATCTACTGGGGCAACACCATTCTCTTTGGTATATGGGATGGAAGCAGTTCTACCTGTTGAGGTGGAAATACCTTCTTTGAGAGTATTGATGGAGTTGAAACTGGACGAGGCTGATTGGGTACAAAGTAGGTTTGATCAATTAAATTTGATTGAGGAGAAAAGGCTGAAAGCTATCTGCCATGGCCAAATGTACCAGAAAAGGATGATACGAGCATATGACAAGAAAGTCAGACCTCGAGAATTTCGTGAAGGTGATTTGGTACTAAAAAAGATCCTACCTATGCAAAAGACTTTCGAGGGAAGTGGATGCCGAACTGGGAAGGTCCCTATGTTGTAAAAAAGGCATTCTCAGGAGGAGCTTTGGTGTTAACAGAAATGGATGGAGAAGATTTGCCTAATCCCATGAATTCAGATTCGGTCAAGCGATATTATACTTAAAATAAAAAAAAATGAAAAATGAAAAAGAAGAAAAAATAAATAAAGGAGGGTTCAAGATGAAAACCCAAAATGGGCATCTTGAAACCAAAGGAGGATTCGAGTTGAAAATCCGTAATGGACGTCTCGAATAATCAGAAATTGAAATGGTGGATTCCCCCCGGAAGCCTAACAGTTTAGGGAAAGACTCTCATACTCATACATCTTTTGTACGATCTGAATCTTCGAAACACATGTCAACTTTCGAGAAAGATTTGGGGAAGAAATAGAAGGACTCATCATTTGATATTTACTATATTTGTCCATTGTTTTTCCTTTGTATATACTTGTTTTCTTGTCCCAAAAGATTGTACTTTCTCATTACCTATCTTCAGTGAAATTTTTGAATTTGATTCAATATCCTCGCATATATTCACCAAATTACTAATCAATAACATTGGTTATTATGCCTTACTCGGAAAAGTGTCAGAGTATGGGGATTTTGAAACAGTTGATCGCCAGAGAACACATACAAAGGCACGCTCCCATCAATCGTTAAACAAATCATTGAAAAAGAAGGGTTTAAATCAAAGAAATCAGTTTCAACATAATCATACTTTCCCCAAGTAAAGAAGTCCCAATTTAAAGGCATGCAACAAGGAGAGGCCATTCTGAATGAATTTTCTCTGAAAAGTCAATCAATGACCAAAGAATCAAAGAGGCAAGATAAACTCTCTCGGGGTAGATCAGAGAGACAAAGTCAAAGAATATTTAATGAGAGGTCAAGAAAGTAACCAGGCATGGATAAACGCATAAATATCGCATGTTTCGATCAAAGAGTATGAGGGAGTCTCAATGCCAGGAACGAACTGAACATAACCCTTTAAACATGCATTTAGATCATTCTTAGAGCATATTGATAACATGAAATCATAGCATATGACCATTTTTACAGGATCATCAAGACTTATTGAAGCAATGAATCAGTCAACATCAACTGACCAGACTTCCTCATCACGTAGGAGCCGTGTCAACATTAGGATAACCAGCCGTCCTCATCACGTAGGAACCGAGTTATCACCCTTCCTAAAGGTGGCCAGAGTTTTTCATCATGTATGAACCGTGTCATCCCCAGACCAGACCTCTTCATCACGTATGAGCCGTGTCAACCATAGATAACCAGCCGTCCTCATCACGTAGGAACCGTGTTATCACCTTTAGATGGCCAGATCTCTTCATCACGTAAGAGCCGTGTCAACCTGATAACCAGTCGTCCTCATTACGTAGGAACCGAGTTATCATCCCTAAAGATGACCAGATTTCCTCATCACGTAGGAGCCGTGTCACCCTTAGACGACCATACCTCTTCATTGCGTACGAGCAGTGTCGTCCCCACCAACAAAATTATCCATTTTTTTCAAACCAAAAGGAGGAGGACCAGACAAAAAACGTGTTTTCTTGTCGTCTTTGCCCTATTCTTGTTAACACAAGAATATGCAAAGAGGGGCAGCTGTAGACACCCGTTTTTGTCCGGTTTTTTTTCCGTTATTTTATTATTATTATTATTATTATCGTTATCTTATTATTTTATTATTATTTATTATTACAATTTTTTTTGCAGGCTTAGAAGCCCAATTCAGATTACAGAGGCCCAATAACCCGAAGCCCAATTGGCCCAGAGACCAGAAGCCCACTGCTAACCCAGACCCCAACCTAGCAGATTAGGGTTTCAAACCCTAAATCAAATTAGGGTTTCAAACCCTAAAACAAATTAGGGTTTCAAACCCTAATCCCCTACTCAGCCGCCACAGCCGTTTGGCCTTCAATTTCCCAGCCGTTCAAGCTGGCTGCTTCCCTCACCGCCGCTGTCATCGGAGCCGTGAGGAGTCCATCCATCAAACAGTGACCGGTTCCTGTAAAAACAGTAACCAAATCAAAGAACAGTGGCCTAAACTTACCCTAAATTTAAAAAACCCATTAAAATAACACCCGAAAATCCCGAAAAATCTGGATTTTATTCACCCAAATCAGAGAAATCAAATCCTATCTACCTAGATATCATCATCATCTCAATGGAAATCCAGATGCAAGCAAGGATAAAAGAAAAAAGAAGAGAATCCGAAAAGAGAGGAGGGGAAAAAGAAAAGAAAAAAATAAAACCAAGCAAAGAGAAAGAGAAAGAAAAAAGGTCTTACCTTCCGAGTTATCACCGTCGTGAGCTTCACTGGACCAAACCCCTTTTGTTTCAAAGGTAAAGATTTAGTTGTTTAAGTTTGGTTGTGGGAAAAGGGGCTCTGTTTCTATGTTGGGTTTTTAGGAAAGTAGAGGAGAAAGAAAGAGAGGAGGGGCTTTTATGGCGTTTAACCCCGTGGCCATCGTTCGCGGTGGCCGGGGCTTTGGTTTGCCACATACGGCGGCGTGAGGGTTGTAGTAGAGAGAACTCTCTCTGTTTGTGGTATTTTGCTGAGAGAAGAGCAAATGAAAGGGTTAAAGGGATGTCTATGTGTTTCATTTAGGGTTAATATCAGAATAGGTCACTGTAATTCTGTGATCTCTCACGCGTTTTTTTATTTTCGGGGTAAACTACATTTTAAATCCCTTTAGCTTTGTAATGGTTGTAATATGATCCTTAATGAAATTTCATCTTTCTATTTTGAGCTCTTTATTTATTCCTTGTTCCGTTTTAATCCTATATGATTAATATTATATTTTCTAAGTGTTTAGATTTTTGGTTGCTTGTTTCGTATAATATTCGTTTTAGTCCTTATTTGCATGTGTTGTGTGATTTTAGCTGATGTTCGAATTTGGCCCTCAGATTTATGCATCTTCTGTTTTAGTCACTGTTTTGGCATTTGGTTTAAATATTTTGTTGATCCTTCATGTTTTTTTGTGTAATTTCAGTTTAGTTCTTTAACTTACGTTTCTTCGATTTTTTGCCCTTTAATTTTCTGTATTTGTATTTTAGTCCTTAAATTTCTTTTTTTTTGTCGTTATTCTAGCCCTTCAAGCTTGGTTAAACGTCATTTTGGTCCCTGAAATTATCATATGTGCTTATTTGGTTTGTATTTTGGTTTGTAATGTTAACTTAGTTTTATTTTAGTTATTTATGTATGAATGTATTTTACATATTTTATGGTTATTTGTATTATATTTAATTCAATTTAATGTAAATGTTTATATTTCCAATTGCATTTTATTTTCATTATATTTGATTTTATTTTCAAGAAAACATATTTATAGAACGGGCGTGGAAAGTATCACTTGATCGAAGTGGTACAATCCGATACGACGTTCAAACAGAATATAAAAAAATGTAAATTCTTCCTTTTACAATCTTATAGACATTATTTTTATTGTTATTTTATTTTTTGATGTTCATATTGTTTAATATTTAAATTTTAATCTTTATTATTATTTCTTCATTGAATCTTAATATGAGTGATGTATGTTTTGGAAAAGTATAGTATGATGCATTTTATGACAATTTTCGTCATTTTTTTATTTAAAGAGAAGATATTCTTTACAAGTAAGAAATAGACGAGGTAGCTTTCCCGGCGGAGGATTGCAAATCTCGAGATTTCTTATCGAGAAAAGGATTTTTTTTTATTTTAGCTAATATTCAATAAATAAATCATAATTTATTTATTATTCTATTTTCATAATTTTTATTGTATTAATGGTTGTTATGTCAATATTAACGATACATAAATTAAGCATATTGTATTTTCTACTCATGACGATATTATTTAGTGGTAATTCAAAGATAGGATATACTTTATAGATAAGAAATAGATGAGATAGCTTTCCCGTTGGAGGATTGCAAATCTTGAGATTTCTTACCAAGTGAAGTATTTCTATTATTTTAATTTTAACAAATATTCAATAAATAGTTCATATTTTTTACTTCATATTCAAATTGTAATTTCCACCATTTACGACGATGTGTAAGCTACACAGTACCAATTTTGGGCGTTGTGGGGTGTTTACCCTTCCCCACACGTAACCGACTCCCGAACCTGTTTTAAATGAATCTTTGGTAACGTAGACCAAATTTTTGTCTTATAAAATATTTTTTCTTAAAATTGTTTTTAAAGGACGTTTTTAGGTATTCGACCTACCTAACCCAAAGGTCGATGGCGACTCTTTTCAATCTTATTCAAATCCACCAAATTTTCCAAATTAAAGTTGTAATCGTTTTTTTAAAATAATACTTAATTGTTAAAAAAAAAATGGTTATGACATGAGGCTTTTCTGCCTTGTATTGGAAACTGTTTTAAAGCAAGAGATTTAGTGTTCAATAATAAATTTAAATCACAAGTGAAGTGATCGAAGATACTTAACTGGTATCAAGTGGGGAACCTGTTGAAGTAGATATTGCTTCTAATACTGACTGTGGGCTGTTTTGCTTACTGTCTTCCATGCATGCGCTCAGTTGAAACTTTGTATCTACAGCTGCCTATAAGAATATCAGATAGAATCTGCTTTGCCCAAAATATGAAAGAGTCTTATGAAAGCCTTTTTTACCTTTTTTCCCCTTTCGGCATGGTGTTCTGAAGGCCTGGAGTTGTCGGTAAACATTGATGCTTCATCTGTGTCGCTATCTGAGCTTGAATTATACAGTGCTGAGCAGCTACTGGAAGAAAATCTATCTGCCTCTGCAATTTCTTGGTTATTTCCATCTTCATCATTGGGATTCTTGGTTCTTAAGCCTCTGATTGTAAAGAACTTGTTGCATAGTAGAACTTTAAGCACCTTTGGGAAGTTCGGAATACCCTTGTTTCTCTTGATTTTGTTACTACCGGACTTCTTTAGAAACTTGCCTGAACTGCCATGGCTGTGGATGGAAGTTAAGTTCTTTGTTCCACAACCTTTTTCTGAAAGGTAAACCTCTAAAGCAAAAGGTTCTTGTTGTTCTCGGAGGAGTTCTCCAAGTTGCCTTGCAGGCTTGGATGCTATGGTCTTTGTGGCCATGGGTGACCACTGCTAGGCTGGAAGCTTGCAGGAAGAAAAAAAAAGCGAAATCAAAAAGAATATAAGATGTTGCATATGCAGGCGTTGGTATTAAATGGGGAAAACATACGTATCTATCAGTTTGGGAATGAAAAATAGCAGGAACGCTGGGAAGATTGGGTATTTAAGGCTATGAAAAGGAGAGAGAGAGAGAGAGAGAGAGACTTAATCCATACATAGCTTTAACTGCTAACCAGGAGGTAGTACTAGTAGTAAACACCCAGAGTTTCAAAGCTTTTAAGGTTGGGTGTAATATATCCTTAAAATCTAGCAACTTCTCTTCCAGTGTTTTGTTTTGTTTCATTTCACTGCTTCTTGTCTTTTTACTCCCAGATTTTGACACCTCATTCAACCCTCCAGTTCTATCCCTCACATTTTACATGGATCCGAATCAATTTTTTGTCATTGCTACTTAGGGTGTGTTTGATTCACGGAATGTAAGATTATCTCTGTGAATAGAATTACCGGAATGTAACATTAATGTGTTTTATTTATTTTCCAGGAATGTAAGATATTACAGTGTTTGGTTGAAGGAATAAAAAATTACTAGAGTGTATACTTTATTAAATTATCCTTGTTCTATATTTTTTTAACAAGTTGAATTCTAAATATTTAAATGAAAATCATTTATATAAAAATTCATCGATTATATATTACTTTACTATTTAAATATATTATGTATTATTTTTTATTTTAATTAATATTAAATTTTACATAATTTATCTAAATATATATTAAAATTTTACATCAACATTTAACTAAATAAACATATGAACATTATAATAGATGAACCATTTTACTCCTACCAAAATGTACAAAGATCACTTTAGAGAATATTTTTAATTTATTAATTATAAAATATATTATTATTAGTATTAAAAAATCATATTTTTACTTTTTAATTTCTAAAATCATATAATATATATATATTATCTAAATCATATTTTCTAGTACTACTTAGTTGGACTTGAGTTTTTGACTCAATTAAAGTTCGAAACCTTTAGTAAATATTATTTCAAAAATATTTCTAGTATATATCTCAATTTTTCATTTGAGTAAGGAGTAAAAATTAACGTTTTAAACTTTAAGTAATAAATATATATATTCGAATAATTGGATCGAATATAATCTTAAAATTTATAAAAAATTAATTAATAAATTTGTTTGGTATATCAAAATATCGAAGTGTTTTCAACACCATGTCCAAATTATTCTAAGATATCGGTCATGAGATTTCTTTTCGAAAACTAGCACATTACTTACAAACTATATACTACAAACAACTGCTGCAATATAAATTAGTCACGATAAATTTTGACAAGACTAGCCAAGATACCGAATAGCAGATATAAATTCATCCATATCGAATACAATTTTGTAAGGTTACATTCTTTGTTTAGCTCACAGAACAAAAAGAAGTAAAACATTAATCATCGAAAGTTTGAACAATGTTTAGACTTACAAAAGATAATAGCCATGACATTCTAAACTTAATCATATATGTTTGTTATATTATATACACAAAAAATTCTCCAAGTTAAAGTAGGGAATTTAGCCTAATTCAACTCACTATAATTGTATTTCTCTATTCGGTTAGTGCCAGTTTATAATTAAACCGAATAGGGCCTTTTGAAATTCCGGTAGCTCACTATATGCCTCATTCAACCGAGTTAAAATAGGGAATTTAGCCTACAAAATAATAGGAAAAGATCAGCCATGTGATCAAGAAAGAAAATGGTGATATGTGAAGCAATATTTCTCCCTCTAACTTGCAAAAATTTCTGAAGCATAGGAGCAAATAGAAAATCCAAGAATACATGCGTGTGTGAAGTATGACGACTTCAATTGAGCCAAAATGAACAAGCACAATTTAGATGAAGAAACAAGTAGTTCATGAATGAGAGTGGATTACCATGTCAACATTGAATCGCTTTATCCCAGCATCAATCTGCGGTGCTAGAAACGCATCTGCCTGCAAAGAAATTCAACATGCCATATTTATGTATACATACATGTATATATTTAGAGTATTCTAACTTAATTATATAATTTCGTACATTTCAGGCATCGTAACACGTAACTGAAGGTGATATTAACTAATGTCGAACAGAATTTAGACCAATGGTTAACACATTTGCATCTAAAATTCCAAAGGCGTATATAGTTCAGGGGCAGAGCTGCATCTTGGTGATGCCTGATTCCACAACACATATTACTGCAGGAAACTACAGCAGTTTTCACCAAAACTATCAATCAAACCACATTCATTCGAAGTGATATCAGAAATACTCTTATCCGCATCCCCCAACAAATATATAAGCCTTCCAAACTCTGAAACATATGCTCCTTTGTGCATGATTTACCATGTGCTTTGATCATGAAATTGCATAGATAAACATTAGAGAACGAAACAAACCATGGAAACTTCGTCTCCGGTAGCATATCTTCCAGCATGATCTTTTAAAAGGTTCTCAAGCGCTGCAACAAAGAAGCATTAATCAAATTAAATGCCTAACCCCATAAGCCTTTACTCATTACTTACCTCCAAAGCCTTTCTCTATATGAAATTTTGCCCAAGGAAATTTCTCATCCGGACCTACTTTTTCCTCAATGCAATTTTGTAAAGGTAAAAGCAGCAAACCAAACACAATCCTTGTATATTTCAATGATCCCGTTAAAAGATAAATGAATGCATAAAAGAGACAAACCAAACTTAATAAGTTTTGAATTCATTCAAATCTCAAGCACAAATTACGACTAAAAATTAAAAAGAAAATTAACAAAAACCCACACATCCAACAAATTCAGATAAGAATTCTAAAAAATTAAAGGCAGAAAAACAGTTTATTTAGCTTAATTAACAACGAAATACAGCTTTGGAACTAATTGCATGCTGGAATTAAACTAGCGGATAAGAAGTTTCAAACTTTATTGAAATTCAACATGAGAAAAAAAAAACCCAAACTTCAAAAAGTCACTTATTTCCTCTGTTTTTCTGACAGAAAAGGAAAATCAAAGAAGAAGAATGCTTCTCACCAAATAGAAGAATGTGGTCTTTGAAATCGGAAGAGGAATTATACCCTGCGAGTTTCTCTCGCCAAATCGAAGAAGCTGAATTTTTTCCATCGCAGAAGCAAACAAACGGGGAGAAGGGTATTTTAGCCCATTAAACACGGGAAAAAAGAAATACCTAGGTGAGATGTGGCAGTAATTCAGACCAAAAAATACTGTTGGTATTAACCTTTTACCTTCACTTGAGAATGTGACCCATCCAAATATGGGTATCTTTAACCCGAAAAAAAAAATATTACTGTCAGGAATCTAAAAATCCATGAACCAAACACCCCCTTAATATAGTCCCAAAAGCACCTTGTTTCTTTTGGACTATCCAAAGGCAAATTGGATCCAAACATGACTATACTCTCTTTGTTTTTAATTGCAAAAACTAACCCGAATTAAGATCCATGTGAATTTCCTCTAACTAAAGGACATGCATTCTGCCAGTCTATCTCATGGTTCAATTTTCATAGCCATTACAATTAACTTTCAACTGTGAACTTAATGCTAAAAAACTAGAGGAGTGCTTTCATGTTTTTTTCCCCATTGTTTTGTTGTTTTCTTGATGAAATGATTTGTTTTTATAAAGTGAAAAAGGAAAAGTGGGAGCATCCTTTACTTGTAGATTTGGTTTATCAGAAATCAGAAAAGATAAACGAGAAACGTGTAATTTCAGAACTTTGGAAAGCAGAATCCATGTCCTTATACTCTTCTGGAATTACTTGGATAACATTTTAGTGTAAAGTAAATTTGATGTTCTTGAGTTGTCCTTTCATTTCATCCACTTTGTTTGTTGAAGCTGTTATGATTTAGGGACTGGTTTTTCAGATTTGTACTTTGGATGGGTGTATGGATACGGTAAAATAATGGAATTGAGAAGAAAAGAAGAAAGGATTGAAGCATGCTATACTTATGCTTGATGATTTCCATATCCATGAGACCATAGCTGGTTTGCTGCATTACCAACAATACAAAACTATCATGAAATGAAATTACCTTTTAGTAGAGAAACCAGAAAAAATCTATATGGTAGAACACCTCAACCACCAAAATTTTTACTATCCTACAATTATGATTTTACTTTTATTTGTAATACCCGATTCTTATCTGTATCATTAAATTGACAGATAGTACATACTATTGGAAGTATGGTAAGCAACAGAATGTAAACTGGTTTATTGATACTATGAATGTGTCTTCAAGTACAAGATCAATGCTCTTTATATACTGCTGCTCTTAACAGCTACAACAACCACCTTAACTGAACAACTAATCAAAACTAACTTGCTAACAACCTCAGCTACCATAACCGCTTCAGCTTCAGGAAGCTTCGAACTACACTGCAATTGTACATACTGCATTAGCTGGTTTAACATGCTAACATTCCCTCTACTTTCTTCTCCTCCTTCAACAAGGTAACACACACATCTTAGCCCTAAACAATTGAAAAGATGAACAACTGAATCGAAAGTGCTGACGCTTCCTTCCGTTCACTTGAATTGAAAGTGCCGGTGCTTCCTTTCGTTCTTCTTGAATCGAAAGTGCCGATGCTTCCTTCCGTTCACTTTGAATCGAAAGTGCTGATGCTTCCTTTCGTTCTTCTTATTCACCTTCATTTCTTTCTTCTTCATCCTCTTATATAAGATTCTTTGACATTTTTTTTTAAAGGACTATATTATCATACTTATTACAAAGTTGTTTCCAATGACAGCAAGAAATTGAACTCCCGGCAAACTCTAAATGTAAACAAACTACTCAAAAAACTCTTAACAATTGACCATACCATTAGCTTTCAAGATGTGATCCTGCTCCATGTTTAACGTGTAAAGGTGTAACGTCTTAACCCCATTAGCTAAAATTTTGCCGCACATTTCTGTTCCAAGGTGAATCCCATAGGCTTGGACAGCTTCATCGTTGTCCTTGATAGGCTCTAAGGCAGCAGTAATCTCATCATAAAACAGTTGAGTAACAATCAGATCAGCTCCTGCATCAACCTTTCTCTTCAAGTAAACAAGATCGTTCTGATGACCGTTATCTCCCATAGCATCGGGATGAGCCTCTGGATAACCGGCAACCGTTATGCCAAAGTAGTCACCATATTTAGCTCTAATATGTTTAACCAGATCAAGGGCACAGGCGAAACCGCCTTCAACCTGGACAAACTTGTCCTGGCCATGAGGAGGAGACTGGGTTTCCTCTGGCGCAGGAGATACCATTGGCGATGGCGATCTTCGAGATCTTCTCTTCTGCATTTTTGTTCGCCATAAATTTTCAGCAGTTGAAACTGCAGCTCCAGGTGCCACTGGTTCAGGGACAAGGACAGCATGGCCAGTTCGCTTACTGTTCTTATGAGATCCGAAACACCAGTAAAAGCTCCAACAGCTTCCCCATCGTTTCTTCTGAACTGTGGTAGGCTGGACTATGGACTCGGCTGAGACGATGGCAGAGGCAGCCGTTGCCGATGGCATATTCTCCTCCTCTTCCATGCAGCGGACAAAAAAAATCAGGACCGTTTGGCGAATGATACCATATTGGAAGTATGGTAAGCAACAGAATGTAAACTGGTTTATTGATACTATGAATGTGTCTTCAAGTACAAGATCAATGCTCTTTATATACTGCTGCTCTTAACAGCTACAACAACCACCTTAACTGAACAACTAATCAAAACTAACTTGCTAACAACCTCAGCTACCATAACCGCTTCAGCTTCAGGAAGCTTCGAACTACACTGCAATTGTACATACTGCATTAGCTGGTTTAACATGCTAACACATACAAATGGCGTGGAAGATTCTTTGCATTTTTTGTCTAATTAAATCGAATTCAATTTATCGAAGAGATTTAGATACCCAAATTTACTCTCTCTTTTCGTTATAATAAAAAAAATTAAATAAAAATAGACATTTTTGAAAGGTATTTTCTTTTTTTCTTTTACTTGTGCGTGTATGTTGCACAGTGATTGTTTTGGGGTTCAAATACCCGCGGACAAGGAAAGCCAATGAACCAAGGAACTTTTACTCTCAAAGATGTTGATCAGATTTAGCTCGATTAAGATTGCCCAAGGAAAACCGTTCGTAGATTTTAATGGACTAAGGATTTCGAACGCTGCAAAAACTTTCTCATCTGTCGTCGAAAAATGGCGATTAACACCGATCTATGGCGGCCAACTAGACGAAGCGTCACTGAGATCCAGGTTTCCCCATGATTCCTGTCGAATGTTCTTCGAATGATGAATAATATTTAAGAGAAAATAAAGGGAGGACTTTTGATTTTGTTTTTTTGAGAAGGAAAATGAATTTTGTTTTTAAAATTTAGATTTCATACCCTGTTCAACCTGTATTTTTATATTATAAATAAAGACAAAATATTTTTATACTTAATTGAATTTGTTCAAATATTTCAAAAATAATTCAAAGTTCAAATAAATTTCAAAAATATGTTTTAAATGTAATTCATTTTTTTAAATGTTGTCAAACATTTTCTCATTCATTTTCGCACTTTAAAACAAGAATTTGAATATAATTTTTTTAAGTAAGTAGTACCGATATTATTATTGAAATATCAATATTTCATGAACAATACCAACACTGTTCTTGTAGCACCGATACAACATATAAGAGTAGTATTGATATTTTCTTGATAGTTATGGTATTACTCTTTGATTTCAAAGTTGTTGAAATTTTAAAATGCAAAAATGATACCGGTACTCTTATGAGTACTAATATTACTCATAACAGTTGTATATATATACTACTAGGTATAGTATCGATACTCCAATTTTCCCAACGACTATATTTTTGAATTTAACACAAGTAATACCAATACTACAAGTAAAAGTACCGATATTGCTAAGTCTAGGCATATTTCAATGTTGAAATTAACAACCCAACAGCCATAATTCAACCCTTATGGCTCCAAACGACTATAAATTCATTCTAACATATAAAACACTCAAATAACACTTGAAGAAGATTATTACATATATCTAAACGACTATAACTCTTCCATTTTCTCTTGTACATAATATTTTGTGCTCGTTGAAAATCTTTGTATTTTATTATTGTGAGTTTAATTTTTGTAAATATCTATCTTGAGAGGTCTTCTTGTTTACATAAGGTTATCTTTTATAAAAAGAGAGGTTCTAGTTTAATATTTAAAAAAAATTGAAGAGTTATAAATGTTACACTTTATCCTTGAAAGCTAAGAGAAAATATATTGAATTTGTTAGAAATTCTTAATGTGAATACTAAAATAATATATATAAATTTGATTAAAAAATCGAACCACTAAAAATCGAAATTTGCTATCTTTTATTAATTTCTTACCAAAATTTTTAAAGTCAAATTCACCGTATCTTGATTACTTCTGTTGATTCTTAGAGCCTCAATAATCCTAATATATCCTAACTTGAGGATCCGAGTTGGATCCCTTAAGAGATCCGCGCTTTTATAACGAGTAAGGTCAAATTCTTTCTGTCGTCCCTCCAATTAATTATAATTTCAAAACTATTTATTATTATTCAAAAATAGTTATTTCATATTATTTAGAAAATTTTCATTATATAAAATAAGATTTGCAATCCAGTGATCGGTAGTTGCCTTTGATGTCGCCTAATCCCTTAAATCCCTAAAATCCTAGATACCCAGATCCTTTAAATCCCTTGTCGCCACGCCTGACTGAGTCCCAAGAAGCATAACTTGAACTTGCAGTTGAATCAAATCCTCCGTCGTTTCAATAGTCGTTTTGAGATCACTCATCGAAACCCCGACAAAAACAGTGTCATTCCAAACATTTACAGGCAAACTCGTCCCATCAACCAAAACATTTGAAGTCAAAACCAAAAACTCATTGTTTTGAGTTATTCAGAATCATTAAAATCGGCTCGAACTTATACGACTGGTGACTCGAGTCGTTGGGTTTTAGCTTGATACCAAAACTGTAAACGTAAAACCATAATTTATCGTTGTAAGAATTGACAGCGATAAATAGGCCCCAATACTATTGGTTTACGAAAAGACGAAATTCATAAAGGAGAGAAGTAGAGAAAGCTAGAAGATGAAGTAGGGATTGTGGTTCGTGTTGGGACTCAGTTAAACGCGGCGACAATGGTGATAGGGATGATCGATTTTTTTATGTTTGAGGATTAGGGTTTATTTTTTTTAAATAATGATTTTAAATTTTTTAAAAATAAAATTTTCAAATAAAATTTTAAATATAATATATATCATGTTTTGAATAATTGATAAATTTTTTACGATATTTTTAACGAAATAACCATCTAACTCAGTTGGTAAAGCACAAGATTTTTAATTTTGAGGTCGTAGGATCGAGTCTTACGGAGGGTATTTTATAATTCGGAGGTCTCTTACAGAAACTTACTATTTTATCTCCTCTTTACCTCATATATATGAAAAAAAGAGATAATCATTTTTACGATATTTTTAACGATTGTGATGAATCATCTAGATTACTTTGAAAATATTAAACACATATCTTGAAGGAAAAATATTTTAAAAATATAAAGTGAGCAAATGATTTAGTTTAAAGTTACAGTTTTTTTTTCTATTAAACCTGTAAAAATTGAGGATAAATTGAACAAATTCAATTGTTTAGTCATCAAGCGGTTCAAATTGGTTTAACCTTATTTATCTGTAAGTAAGGGTTTAAATCATGGACGCTTAGAGATTCTTTTCCCATGTCCCTTAACCTAATTTAAACCTTATATACGATTGGAAAAATCTCAGTGAGCCTCCTTGCTTTTCCTTTAGATAGAGAAATGGGGTCGACCTTGGAAGCAAAGAGTTTGAGAAAGGCGGTGGTGCCATCAGCACTCCTAGATAACCCGTCTCCTGGAAGCCTCCAGTCGACTCGCCTTGCTCTCCATGTACGCCTTTGGATTTCTTGCTATTACATGAAATCATTGATACCTTTTTATTCTATTTTATGCCCAATGCTTGGCAGGTGAACGAGGATGCCTTCTCTTGTTGGGTTTACATTGCATCCGGCTGCAACATCTACAAACTTCAAGTATACTTGGGATTTTTTTTCTTTTGGATTTTTTTCTATATTTGTCAGGGTCGTCTTCATAAATTCTTACCCCACTTTTTTAAAAAAAAATGTTTTTTAATAGATTCCATTGGAAGATTCTTGGCTCAGCACAGGGAAAGAAGGCCTCCTTATTCCCGAGCGAACAAAGGTACTCACTCTATGTCTTTTAGCCGCTTGCCTTTCATAATTTTTCTCCTAAAGAAGATTGAGCACTCCAAATTAACCTCTCCTCGTGTCATTCATTCAGTAATGTACTTGTGGACTTTGATTTTGAAGGTTATGAATTCTTTGTTACTCAAACGGTGCCCTCATCGTTCAGAAATCCAGAGTATTGTACTTGCCGAAACTGAAAGTAAGTGCCTCTTGAGTTGATATTCAGTATATCTATGCATTGATCATCTCCTAGCAGAATGCATTTCTATGGCTAATGGGTGGTTGTAATTTGAAGAAGAGGGATGGGATCTTTCTTACTTGTCATTTTAACTAAAATTATCTTATTATTGTGCTGTACGTGACATAGTATTACAAGGGTTAGAGGTAGATAAAGAAAGAGACACGGATGTTTGTATGTGGTGGATTAGAAGTATTAGTTCTTTAATAGATTTTTGTTGTCAGCATATGTGTCGTATTTTGTATCTCATTAGTAAAATGAGGCTTATTTAGACATTCAGACGAACTGTTGAAATCATGGTCAAGCGAGTGTCTCTTTTGGTACTACAAGTTTAGCTGCCTCTTGGAAAACTAGCACAAATAAGAAGAAAGCATTCCCCCCCCCCAAATTAAAACTCTGTGAATCAAGGTCTAACATCAGCTTTTAACTTGCATACATTCATTTGAAGTCATAATTAAATCTGCATAACTTTTACTTCCTTCCAGCAGGACTTTTTCGCTGTTTGTAGCATTGGATTGGTTTAATTTGTTAATGTTACAGACTTTAAAATGCAAAGTAGCATTGGCTCCTATATTGCTTGCTTCTTTTTGTATGTTCTCTTGTAGCTCTTAACTACTTCACATGGTAAATCATCTTTCTGTTGTAAGGAACAAAATACTTTTAAGATTTTTGGGTTGGATTGACATTATGATGGAAAGGAAAATCTGAAAAGCTAAGAAAATTGGAAGAATATGATAAACCTAATTAAATTAGGGATACAGAAAAAGATAATGGGATTTTCTAGCAACTAGCTTTATCAAAACTCTCTTAATGATAATAAAAACTGCCCCTAGTAGCCCTCTAGTGTGGTATTTATGATAAACCCTTCACTAATAATCATATTTTATAGTTAAACTAGAACTCTTACTAAGAATTCTATACTAATCACATAACAACAACAACAGAGAAGATAACAAAAACCAACGTAAAAAAATTGATCCTAATAATCAAACTTTAAATAATTAAACTAAGCTTGATGCTCCTGCATCACATTATGTTCTAATATTACTTCAGTAAAATTGCCTAAAGGAACCTTGACTGAGTAGCATTGATATTTTACACTTGTTCTAATCAGTATGCAATGTCTGCAGGCGCTGCTTACTTAGTATTGGCTAGTGTAGATGCTTATGGTCATCTTATTGTCTCTAAACTGGATGCCAGTGGTAAAGGTACATCCTCCTTTTCGTATCATCCTAGTTTGAGTGTAGTTCTGATGGTACAATGTTGCTGGCCTATTCTTCTTCATATTTGAAACATTAATCATTTGCGGTGCTTCTCTCTCTAAGAAGCAATTTACGAGCTATTATTTACCAACAATTTGGCACTATTGCATGTTGAATTTTCTGTTTGGTAGCCATGCCTAGATCAAAAGTCGCAAAAAGAGGGCCATACTTTCTCTTAAGGCTTTCTTAAATAGTTTCATGACTTCCATACCATGACAGTCATTGATTAGAGAAGAATGAAATTAAGAAGAAGGAATTCTTCTCAATTGTGATTCAATTCTGAAAAATACACGGTGTATATACAAGAGAATAGTTGTCTAAATAAGGAAACTAAATATTGTTGGATTAATTACAATAAATAAAAAATCTCTAAAAGTTAGCTTCATAATCAACAATCCAAATCTAAATTATAATGGAAAAAGCTTGCTTAGTCAACAACAATTGTTTAGTCTTACCCATTCTTTTCGGTGCTTGGATTAGGGTGAGGATTCAAACCAGTCGAGTGAAAAATTTCGAGTTAGTCAAGTTGGCAATTCGTATTTTATCATTTAAACTTTATTTGATTGTTTTAGTGGAGTTAAGTTTATGAAATTTGAGTCTAGTTGTTTGAGTTTCTATTCAAATTTAATTGTAATTGTTTATAATATTATGGTACGGATTGGTTCCAATTTAAACAACTTTCTCTAACTATATAAGATAAACATATATATTTTATAATCTTTTTCGCATTGTAATGTTATTTAATAAATTAAATACCATCTAAAATTATAAAATATATTTATAATCTTATTTTTTAAATAAGATATTTTGAGGAAAAAGTATTGATGGGAGTATAAAGGAGTCAAGTGATTGATAGGAAGAAGAAATTTACAAAAAATTAAGACCAAATTGAATAAGATGCAAAGTTGAGAGACTAAATTGCAAAATAAAAAGAAGTTTGTTGTTAAAAATAGAAATTGAAGTTATGTAGGTATTCTGTAGCGGTAGAGGAGCATGTGATTCTAATTTGGTTAAGAATGGACTTAAAACTAAGTAGGAATTGAAGAAATTAGGAAATTATGTAAAGTTTACGGACTAAATTGAAGAAAGAAGAAATTTGTTGTCAAAAAGAGGAATTGATGATACATAGGAATTCAACAGTAGTTTAGGAGTATGTGTTTCAAATTTGGTCAAAAAATGACTCAAAACGAAGGAGGAATTAAAGAAACAAGGAAATCATGGATTAAATTGTAAAACAGTCAAATTACTTAGTTAAATACCAAAACGACATCGTTTTAATTTTCAGCTTTTCATTTATCTGAACTTTGAAAATTCAAACTCGACTCGAACTTAAAATTCAAGTTGACTCAGATAACTTGTCTCGAATAACTTGAAATTAGAAGAAAAATTATTTTTTTAGTCGAATCAAGTTTTGCTCACCCTTCATTTGGATGCAAGTGATAATTTCTAAAGGAAATACTATAGTTGCCTAACTAATGCTAGTTCTGATTCTATGATATAAAATAACCAAATTTGCGTCACCCTGTTTAGAATAATGGGGAATGTGGTAAAAGAAAAGTGTTGGTTGCCTCTATCTTCACAACAGTAACTAAATGTTACATAATTTCTTCTTGGTAGACTTCGCATTGGTTTGTTTGCTAAATTTTCATTTTCAAGTAATTAAGGTCTCTTTTCAAAGTCTAATGCTGAAACTTTTCAGATGTTGACAAGGTTACATATTCAGTGTTACCTCGGGATTTTGGTGTCGGAGAAGGTAGTTGGTCTGGGGTTTGCTTCAGTCCAATTCAATGGTCCATGGTATGTCCTCTTTCATAGTATAACTGAAACTAATAAAATTCTATAGGATGCTAAAATTTCTGGTGTTTTGATAACTATCATTTTTACTTATTTCTTAAGGGCATGGCATCTAAAAAGGATACTTGATTCTACTATTGTTTGTCTGGACCTAGTCAAGGCCATTATGGTTTTGAATTCTGCATTCACATCAATGAGTTTGGGAGTAGCGGCAAGATACACAGGAAATTCTGTTTTAAATGTTGTGTTCAAACTTGTAGGACATGTTACGTCCAATTCGAGATGTCTTTTGGATCAATACTGCATGCTCTAAACTATTTCTACCTTAATTTCTTTTTGGAAAAATTGAATTTTATTATTTTTACCATAAATTAGGGATTCATTTTGCACTAAATTCTTAATCCAGGCAGCTGTGGCACAAAGCTTCTGCAAAAGTGTTGATGTTTATGACCAGGATATCCATCTTCGGACCTTGCGTACGTGAGTTTTATATTTACTCAATCTATACTCTTATATTAGCATGTCAACCAAAACATAACTATGTCCATCCTTGATGGTAGACTCACGAATTTTGCATTGAAGTTCTCACTAGGGTACTATCCAAATAATATTTCTCTACTCGAGGGTACATGGTTACAAAAGTGGGGTACGTCAATTGTCTCAATTATGGATCTGGCTGTATATAGTTTTAGTGCTGTCAGCAGTGAAATAAAGAAGATGGATTAAAGTCATTTGAATTTCCTACTCTTGCTCTGAAAGCTGCTTGTGAATCATTATTGCGGAAAACTCATATCTACTTTCTTGATCTATATGGTGGATTGCCAACTTATAAAGTCTGCTTCTGCACTCTCCCTGATGGTCCCATTGCAGTTTGTAGAATGTAGAAGATTCAAGTTCCTAAGAACACAATAAAACATATTTTATGTTGTTGATATTTAGAACTTTCTATATGGACATTTTATATTAACTTATTTGCTTACCTTTTAGGCTTTGGCATCCATCTTCATTGAACTTCATGCGGAATTTAGGTAATGGGGATGAAAATTCTATACTAGCTGTAACTGAAGGTTGCCAGGTATATAATAATACATTATATTTTATGTTTCTTTATGTGTTAAGTTATCTTATGGTTTTGCCTCCTGGTATTAATGTAGCTGTCTGTATGGGACTTGAGAATGAAAGAAAATGGTGGTTGCCTAAATCGTATTTGTGGTTCTGTTGGAAATACCTTATATGCTGTCTGCAGTTCTTCTATCGGCTACATTGCAGTGGCTGGTGCTGATCGTACCGTGACAATCTATGATCCCCGCAGGTTGGTCATCATTATATATGTTGATTTTAAAAAATTAGATATGAAATAAATAACTCAGTCTAATTAGTTTTCCCTACTTGATTCATGGATGATGGGTGGATTATGATCTTCTAGACGATTATACCACTAGGTTACCTCCTGGATTATACAAGAATAATCGATGAATTTTATAAAATTAAATGTTATTTATGAAGATTGAATTTGGAAGAAGATCTATGTTGCTAGATTAGACCACTGAGAAGGGAGTTGACTATGTCCAACCAATGTGACTTGAGTTATGATGACAAAGCCAACTTGTGGAAAAGGTGATACGTTTTGTGAGTTTGGGATTGATAGTAACATTAATGGAGTTGTTAAATAAAGGTCCAAATCTCCTTTTAGAGTTTTGATAAAAAATTGGCTTGCCTTGGTTTTATTAATTATCCCTTTAAATAGAGATTACAATAATTAAAGATGGTAAATAAAGTCCTACCAATCACAACTTATTAAGAGTCCTAAAACAATTTTATTCTAGGAGTTCTGCATAACAATTTCTAACTTCTAATAGCCTTGCCTAACATCTAATAAGCTTCCACAACAATCATGTTATGGTTTTCTTTTGCTTGGAGGTTTTCCTTGTTATATACCCGAGTTATAATGGTGTTTTCCAACAATCATGTTATCCATTTATGCAAGCATTTGATTGAATGCTTAGGTTTTGTTCTTAGCAATATTTTCATCCACATGCTCAAACTTCTTGCATATTTCCAATTGTCACCCTTATGACCACTATTCTTTCATTGCCAAGAATCATTGGCTTTGATACCAAATTGTTACTTCCATGAGTTTGGGATTGCTATTTGCTAGTGAAACTATCAAAAGGAGTTTGAAACCTTTAGGACTCATTAGAGAGGGAGACTTAGATCTCTTTCTAGGGTTTTGATTAAAATTTGACTTGCCTTTGTTTTATCATTCTTCTCTTTTAGAGATTACAATAAAGTAAATAAAGTCCTACCAAAACAATTTCTGTTTTAAGAGTCCTAAAAAAATTGTTTTCTAAGAGCCTACCTACAACTTCTACCAAGATTTCTACCTATCAACCCATAAATTTCTAATCGGAGTCATACATTAACCTATTTACTTGTGATTTATATTTTATAATTTATCTTCTCTTAAAGGTGGAGAGACGAAACGATCTTCATGTTTTTTCCCTATATGATTTTTATAAAGTCCTAAAACAACTTTATTCTAAGAGTTCTACCTATCGTAACAGTCCTTTGGGTGAGCCCGGAATCGGGTTCTGACTAAATTTGATGTGATGGAGCCGCCACGAATTATTTAAAGTTAGGTTGATCGGATACCTTAATTTACCATTTTATCTGATCTGCATTTTAACCAGAATTGAATCGGATTCGGGAGTCGATTACAGTCAGGGAAGGATTAGCACCCTTGTGCTATCCTTTCAGTTCTAATTTAATTTCTCAGTTGTCTTAATTACGAAAATTAAGGTTAAATTAAAATTTAAAAGTTCAACCTGAATTACTTACCTTTGTTGAAGTTAAAATTACCCTAAAAAAGTCAAATTAATGTTAAATAAAACAAAATAAAACAAAATAAAGAAAGGTATTAAATTAACAGAAAACAATCATTAAAGAATGATTAAATTGGGAAGAATTTAAAATTGGGGTTCAAATTGATATTATTTGAAAGTTGCAAAGGAAAAAAATGAAAGTTGGGAGGTCAATTTGCAAAATATAAGAAATATAAATGGGGATTAAATTGAATTAATTCAAAATTCAAGGGTAAATTTACAATGGGTGACTAAAATAAATTACACATCAAACATTCATTGACTGTGGAAATAATTTAACTATTTTATAATTGCATAATGACCCTCCTTATAAATAACCCTTAAAACTCAAAATATCATTCAGTTTCAAACACTTCTCAAAATCAAAACCCTCTCCCTTCTCTCTAAACTCTCTCCCAACTTGCCTTCAACCGGCCACGAGTCGACCACCTGCCGATGGAGCCCCACCGCTCGGTCCGTCGCTCATTGGTGGCCGGAAAACCCTAAGCCTACCTAAAAAGCTTCCTCTCCACTCCCCGAACCCAAAATTGAAGCACAACTACCCGAAATACACCCCAAACGGAGTAGATCTATCAAAAAAGGTTTTGACTTTACCTTTTCCGACGAGCTTTCCAACGATTGTTTCCTTATCTGAGCCTAAATCAAAGTTCGCACGCCCCCTTTGGATTTATTTTGCTATTTCCGAATGCTATTTGCTTTCTTTTTTGTGTTTTGGCTATATGGTTGTTTTTGTTTCTCTTGGCCGAATATTATTTGGGTTTTTGGTTGTTTTTGTGGCTTTGATTTACTTGGTTTGGTTCTTCGATGTTTTTCCGGTTGTGTTTCTTGTGTCTTGTTACTGTGCGCTGCCAGGGCTTTTATAGCCTTATGGCTGGCTGTTGTGGTCCTAAATATCTTGGGGTGTTGTCCGATCTTTCGACACATTGTTGTTGTTCTGATTTCACGTTCAGGGGCCTAGAAATACGGTCGGTTTTCGAATTGCTCAGGCGCATGGCCTCCATGCGCGCTCCCCGTTCAGCGCCCTTGCTTGATATCGAACCCTAATTATTTTTGGGCTGAGACAGGCCCCATAACTGGGTTGGCTTGCTGGGTCAATCTTGCTGGCTCGGTTAGGCTGTACTTTGGACTGAATTGGACCTATTAAAAAAATAAATTAAATAAATAAATAAATAATAATAATAATATAACATAATATAATAAATATAAAATAATAAATAATATAATTAATAATAAAAACTATATAACATATATATTATATTTCCAAAAACTATATAATATGTTTTCAAAAATTATATATATTACATATGTTTTCAAAAATCGTTTTAAAAAAATCATATATATATATGGTTTCAAAACTATATTATATAAGTTTTTAAAATTTGTTTTTTAAAACTATATATTATACGTTTTCAAAAATGTGGTTTCAAAAACCATATATCATACGTTTTCAAAAATGTTTTCAAAACTATATTATACATTTTCAAAAATATTTTTAAAATCATATTTTATACGTTTTCAAAAATGTTTTCAAAACCATATTATATATTTTCAAAAATGTTTTCAAAACCATATTATATATGTTTTCAAAAGTATGTTCAAAAACTATATTATATGATTATATATACTAAATACGCCCCGGACGAAAATGAGTGACTACACTACCTAACAACTACTAAGCGTCCACAACATACGGCCAGATACACTGACACTTCTACATGATTCTAACTTCGTCCTGTAATGGGTACCATTACCTATATCTTGTTTGTATTTTTTTATGTGAATATTTCAGCAGGATTTATCTTCTGGTAAAGGAGAGATGAAATGATATTTGATATGTAATGGAGTATTAAGGATGGTAAAAAATAGAATCCATTCATCTCTTCCTGTTTTTCTCTTATACCTTCTCTCAATTTAGTCTACTAAATGGTCTATTATCACAGACTGATTGTCTTGTCAATGCTGATTCTATGAAAATTTAGTGGAACGTTGCTTCATCTTAGACACTGTGAGAATATGCTGCACTAATTTACCTCTTCTGTGTAGATGGTCTGCACTTTCAAGATGGGTGCACTGTTCAAAATATGAGGTTAGTTTAGTTGTTCACCTACATTTCCTCCAACCTATAATTTTGGGTTCTTTTATTATAATTTATTAATGAAAAACATATATGTTACTACAATACCATTTAGTCAAGAATAAAATGTTTTTGTAGTTGTTGATCCCTTTTATCATTTGTTAAGTACATACCCTAAGGTAATTTTAAGAGGTCAATAAAACTACGTTGCAATTGTAATAGAGGTTATACGAATAAAGATCTGTACAGAGCTTCTTAGTGTGCTAACACAAGACGGGAGAATGAGTTAGCAATTGTAATAGAACAAAAGAAAGTATACATCAACGAAAACCCTAAACCTAGAGTTCAAGAAAAGCTTTAAACAATGAAAAAACTTAGAAAATTGAATTGTACCTTGTATGGAAAAAAGTTAAAGTTTTGTTTGTTCTCGGTTTAAAGTGATTGGAAATTTTTATTTTTTTAAAAAAAAGATTGCTTGAAAAAAATACTTGGATTTTTTAAATGAAAGAAGGTTCAATTACACGTTTAGTGCCTAAACTATCAGTTTTGATCCGTTTTAGTATCTTAACTTTCAATTTTTTCAAAACCATACCTAACATTTAGTTTTTGTTTCATTTTAGTACCCCATTGAAAACTTAACAACATTAAGTTTTGAAAAAAATTAAAAGTTTAGGTACTAAAATAGGATCAAAACTGATAGTTTAGGTACTAAACACGTTTAAGTTTTTAACGGCAGGGTACTAAAATGAAATGAAAGTTAAACGTTAGGTATGGTTTTGAAAAACTTGAAAGTTAAGGTATTAAAACATACCAAAATTTATAGTTTATGTACTAAACGCTTAGTTTACCCAGGAAAGAATTGATAATTTAGTTTACCCAGGAAAGAATTGATAAAGAAATCCTACTGTAAATGAATAATGCATGAAAAACTGATACTAAATAATGATACGAAAGCTTGGATAGATTAAACCCTTGTTAAATTTGAAATTAATAAATAAATGATTTAAGATCAAGAATAAACAAAGATTAAAAAAAAAGAACAAAATGTATGTAACATCTAACATTCTAAGGATATTTTACCTTAATAACCTAGACGGGGACTTTGAGCCAAAAAAGGTGAACTTCTAATCCTTCTAGGAAGTTCTACTTTGACAAACTAGACAGGATGAAGTACACTTCAACATGTCACAACACAATTAGATCTTTGCACTCTAAGCAAGAACAAAATGAAAATCTTAAATACAAAAAAATCCCTATGACAGATTTTTTTTTTTGTAGAAGAAACTTGTTTTATGAGAGAATAGTGTCTATTTATAGGCTTAAGGTCACTTTACTTGGTCACTAAGCATTATTTAAACACAAAGCAAACCTAATTTGGATTAAGAAAATAAATATTATCCTAAATTACCTAAAATAAATAATAGAAAAGTCTAAGGTTGAATTTAATTACAAATAATTAATAAAATAAATGAAAATTTGAAATAAAATAAAAAATCTCGTATTGGACTCATATCCAATTTTTAGCACGCTTTGTTTTCACTAAAACAGACATATCTTGAGTTCCTGACGTCCGGTTTAGACGTTTCATGTTGCGTTTGAAAAATAATTGAAAGACGGTCGATACGTAAGAAGATATCTCAACCCAAAAATGGCCGGATCACATCTGAAAATTTGTCACAAGTCAACTGATGTTTTAGCTTTCAAAAACAATTTTAATTTCTTCTCTAAAATAAATTGTTTCACCCCTTTTATGCTTGTATCATTATCTTTTAGTTTAATATTTGTATAGACTTATCACTTTGTACCTATAAATAACTAATGAATGTAAGAGGATTTTCTCTTTGATAAGAATTTCAAGCCTCGTTAAAAACCCTCTTCTTGATTAAAGGAGCTTGTAGAGAAGCTCCTTAATTAGCGAAAGGAGGAAAAGAGTGCCTTAGGATATTATTGAACAAAAGAAATTACATAAGATACAACCTACAAAACACCCCTTTGAAAAACATAAAAACAGAAAACACCCATAAACCACCCATAGTAAACAACACTAAAACAGCCAATTCCTTCTTTAGCTAAGGCATCAGCCTCTAAATTGGTTGTCCTATTTACCCATCTAACAACACCATGTAATATATCAAGCCTATGAACAATATCTTTAACCATAAAAGCATAAACATCAGGACATAATTCCACCTCCTTAACCAAATCCACTGCCACCTTACTGTCACTTTCAATAATCAAACGGTCCTTGAAGCTCTCTCGAAAATCAGCATAGAACAACAACCCCTTCTGAATAGCTTTTAATTCCATAAAGGTCGGAGGCCCCGGACCAGCAGTTTCCTTGAAAAAGCCTAAGGTCAACCCTGAGGAATCCTTTAAAACTCCTCCTATCCCACTCTTCTTCCAATCTCTAGTAGTAGTTGCGTCAACATTAAGTTTTACAAAACCTTTAGGAGGAGGGGACCAAGGAAAAACAGAAACAATCTGTTTGGAATTAAGAGAACACGAGTCCCCTAAGGAAGGATCTGAAATAAGAGAATCTTTAGAGATAGAAACCTCTTTGTGCTTTGCTAGGAACCAAGAAGCAAGCCTAAACCTTGCTAAGAAGAAAAATTCAGCCATATCTAACTTCCCCCCCAAACACAATTAGATTCCTTATTTTCCAAGTTGTCCAAATGACGACCCTGGAATTAAAGACCAAATTGGAGAGTTAGTCTTCAAAGCAGCCCAAGCAAGAAGAAAGCTTTTAGCATTAGCATGGAAAACAATCTTTATCCTCCAGAAATTCAGAAATTTGTTCCAAATAACCCAAACCATCGAACAAGAGAAAAACAAATGTGAGGAAGACTCATCCTCCAACTTGCAAAGAGGACATACCACGTCTTCAATACCTTGAATACTTCTTTTAACAAGTTTTGTCTTAACAACTAGCTTCCCTAAAACAACATGCCACAAAAGACTCCACTCTTGGCAGCAAGTCACCCCTCCAAATAATCTTCTTCCAAAAATGGTCGTCCTCCGAACCCAAAGAATCGGATGAACATAACTTAATACCAGATTTTACTGTGTATACCCCATCCCCAATACCTTTCCAAATCATCCCATCAGAAATCTCCATTGATAGTGAAATAGAGGAAATGACAGCCATCAAATTAGCCTACTGCTCTAATTCCCAGTCATTTAAATTCCTTCGAAATTGCACATCCCAAATCCATCTTGAAGAGCTATATTCCCCAAATTCGAAAAATTTGCCCATTTTATTAGTGGAAATAGAAAACAATCTAGGGAAAATGAGCAAAAGAGGAGAATCCAAAACCCAATTATCCTGCCAAAACCGAATTAATCTTCCATCTCCCACAAACTTCTAAACTTGTAACCAAAAGTGTCCTCCACAAAATGATTATTAATCAGAGATCTCCAAATCCAAGAGACTTTTTGAGGGATTTTACTGTCAAACAATAACATGAATAATCCAGATTATATTTCGAGCAAATAAATGCCCTCCAAACAGACTCCCTTTCATTGGCAAACCTCCAAGACCATTTTTGAAGAAGTGCTCTATTCATGAACTTTAGATTAAGAACACCTAAACCCCCCTCAATCTTTGGTTTGCTCACATTCGGCCAAGAAACCCAATGAATTTTATTTTTACCATTTCCTCCTCCCCATTAGAAATTGGACATAATTGAGTTGAGAGTTTTAAGAACCGAAGCTGGTAACTTAAATAAAGATAAATAATAAGGAAGTAGCGAACATAGAATCAACTTGACCAATACCAATCTTCCTACTAAAGAAAGGGAAGAAGCCTTCCACCCAGATAGTTTTCTGGAAAAATTATTAACCACTGGATTCCATAGAGCTGCAGAATTCCTAGTAGCTCCCAAAGGAAGCCCTAGATAGTCAGAGGGAAAACTATCAACTGAACAACCGATAGTGTTAGCCCAATCCTGAACTTCCTCCTCATTCAAATTAACACCAAACATTTTACTTTTCTTCATGTTGAGTTGTAAACCTGAAATTACTTGAAACACATGAAGCACTCTCTTCACATTTAAAATCTGCATTTTAGATGCACCACAAAATATAATGAGATCATCCGCGAACTGTAGATGAGATAAATTGAATGATCCTTCATTTCTGCCCAGAAAACAGACCCTGATCAACAACCTTTAAAATCAGCAAATTGAGAAGTTCAATAAAATTAAATAACAAAGGGGATAAAGAACATCCCTATCTAAGTCCCTTTGCCATTGGGATTTCCTCAGTTGGAACTCCATTAACTAAAACCGAAACAGAAGCTGTGGAAACACATTTTCTGATCCAACCTCTCCACCTTGGACCAAATCCCATTTTCTCCATCACTAGAAACAAAATATACCAATCAACCGAATCATATGCTTTCTTGAAATCAGCCTTGAAAACACAACCTTTAAGTCCATTTTTCCTCCAAAAATCTACTCCTTCATTAGCAATTAATGAACAATCCAATGTTTGTCTACCTTGGGTGAAAGCAAACTGAGTAGGACTAATTAAGTCTGAAATACAGCTCCTCAACCTCCTCGAAAGACACTTAGAGAGGATCTTATATAATACACCAACTAAGCTAATAGGTCTATAATCATCAAGGTCACCACCGTTAGAAGTCTTAGGAATGAGTAATAAATGTATGATTAATGCCATGATCTCAATCTTTCCCCAAGTAAAAATTATGAAAGAACTTCAAAATCTCTCCCTTAAGAACATGCCAATATCTTTTGAAAAGGCCCATATTAAAACCATCCGGCCCCCGAGCTTTATTGCTATTGCAAGACTTTAAGGTATCCCATATCTCCTCCTCTGTGAATACTTTCTCCAAACTCTGATTTTGCTCATATGAAATATTGGAAAAATGCAGTCCAATATCTTCAACTTCTAAGGTAGACTTATCATTAAAAGCCTTAAAAAAGTGATCTCTGACAGTGGCCTTTATAACATTCGGGTTTTGAATAACATTTCCCCTGCTAGTTAGAACATTCAAAGTGTTTCTCTTCCTCCTAACTGAAGCACATGTATGAAAGAATCTGGTATTTCTGTCCCCGTCTTCAACCCACTTCGATCTTGAATTTTGGAACCAAATCTGCTCCTCTATCTTATACAAATTCCACAATTCTGATCTTAATTCCTTCAGTTCAACTGCTTTTTCACCATTGGAACCGTCTTGCATCTGTAGAACATCCACTTCTAGCTTATGAATCTTCAATTCTAACCCTGAAATTAAAACTCCTGGAAACTTGTCCCTCATTCCTGCCCAATTCTTGATGGCTGATTTGGTTTGCATCAAATTATTGAAAATTCAAGCATTCCTCCGAAAGCCCTTACATTCTTGAAATGTAGATTTAACCAGATCCTCGAATCCATCTTCATCCATCAAATAATTAAACAGTTTAAACGGTTTTTCCCCCTAATCCATTCCTCCTTTTTCAATTTTAACTGCATTATGGTCTGAGACAGACCTTGGCAGTAACGATTGAAACAAGATCTGGAAAAGCAGCCATGAATTGGCTATCAACCAAAAATCTGTCCAGCCTTACATATGTCGGGGAATCTTGGTTGTTACACCAAGTAAATCTACTCCCACTCAATGGCAAATCAATTAATCCTGTAATAAGAAGAAATTGGCTGAAAATCCCTATTGAACTCCTGTTCTGAGCTCTACCAATCTTTTTATCTTCATGTAGATAAACATTAAGGTCCCCTCCAACACAAATAGGATCACTTTGACCTCCTATAAACATGCTTAACTCTTCAAAAAAGCTCCCTTTCTCCTCCTCAACAGAAGGACCATACATATTAATAAATCTGCACCTGAAATTATTAGCAATAAATCTGTTGGTTATGAACTGATGTTGCAACTAAAAAATATTGTCATCCCAGCAACTCAGTAACCCCCCTGCTGAACCAACCGATGGAGACTCAATAACCCCTTGCAAATTTTTTAACCCATTCCTTCCAAAAAAAGATCTGTGAATCTTCTCCAATTTAGTATCCTGCAGCCACAGAAAATGAGGAGAGTATTCTGAAACTAGCCTCTGAACATCCCTTTGCTTCTCTTTTCTACCCAAGTCTCTAACATTCCATGTTACAATTGATAACTTTAACATCATCATTAAAAATCATCCATCTAAACCCTCCCAAGAACCCCATGATTATCCATACTCAAGCCTTTCTCCAAAATAATAATCTTATCCAAAAATGCTTGTTGGCCTTGCTTAAAAGAAATCCCCAGTTGCCTACTTATCTCCCAAGTAGCTATAGCTTCTTCAAAAAATTCTGAAAAGGCTGGAGAGGAAGCTGGAGAGATGCTCACTCTTTCTAGTGATTCCCTTAGCAAATGTCTTCTAGCTCTTCTATCAAAAGAACTAGATTTGAAGCTTTGAATTTCTCCCATTGATTGCAATCCATCAACCTCCCTATCCACACTCATATCACCCAAACTTCTTCCATCAGTAGGATCCTGACAACCGTGCACCTCTAAATCAGCCAACAAATTAGCCCGTTGAATAACTGTGGAGTTTAATTTTTTGAAGTCCCTGATGATAAAGTCATCAACTTTTTCAGACGTAAAATTCAACACACTACCAAACCAGAATTTTCTGTCCCTGCACCTTTTGTAAACTCTTTTATAACTTCTAATTTTTCTTCTCTCTAACGGCTCACTTTTGGTACTCAAAGAACTATCAGACTTAGAGAAAGATCTACCCCTTGATTTGCTTTCAAAGCTATCAATACATGGCTGTAGCAACATAACTCAGATTCCTTGACACCTAAACCAGCCTGATCAAAAATCTCTGAAACAGTCTTCTTCCCCTGTTCTTCTTTGCTAACATTCCCTAACTTAACCACATTATGATCCTGAATCATTTTCCCAAATTCATCAATTTTAATTTTTGGCCCAGCAGGAATAATCTTTGATACAATAGGCCCAGAAAGCCTATCATCCTCTGAATGGGCTTGAGACCCATCAGCCGAAAATTTTGAATCTCTCAACCCCAAACCTACAAACTCACCCACTTTGATATTCCCACCTTTCTGCAAATCTGACATCCTTCTTTTAATGCTTGTCCCAATTTTGGAAATCCTTGGAAACTGCATTTCCCCACCAGCTCCACCAAACCCGATAACAGTGCCATGTTCCATCCAACTGTCCACCCTCTTACGACTTTCTTCTGCAGATCTTGCTGAACCTTCCTCATCTTCTGACCAGTTCATATCTGCTTCCTTTTCAGACCTCAACGCTCCAAACAGTCCCTCATCGGAAAATTCCACCGGAGAATTGCCGGAAAATAAAAATGAATGTTTATTCGCAGAACCAATCTCAATGCTGACTTTGAAGGATCTTCCATATGATCCAATCGTAATCTGCTCTGGAACATCAAAAGGGCTAGCCACCCTAATTAAAAACCTCGCCTTTGTAAGATCATCCCTTCGTTTAGTGGCATCAAGAATATCTACCACCCTTCCCCATCTCCTTGAAATACTTTCCAAAAAAGATTCATTCCAACATAAAAATGGCGACCCAAATAACTCAACCAGGCAAAAAGCCATTGGAACACCTTCTTCATTCAATAAAGGCTCCAAACGGTCAAACCAGAGTTGAAGTTCTTCTTTCTTCTTCATCCATGCCTCTGACATTTCTTCAGATGAATTAAAAATTAATACACAAGAGTTCCAGACATATCCCCATCTAACAATCTGGACGTTATAACCTTCATCTACTAGAGCCTTTTGAACTAAATCTAACTCCAATGAATGCTTGATAATCCCCGTCAATGATCTTTTAACCCAGCTCGAGCTCTCAGATGGAATGTGCATTTCCAATATGTTTTTCTTGTCTTTTCCCCTGTGATGACCTTCAGCTGATGATTCCTTAATCCCCATAACACTTCTCGCCATCCTGTTCGACATCAGGGCATCTTTAAACGATCTGTCATCCCTCAAACTTCTATTAATATCATCGGACTCTTTTGAGTTGGCTACATCAGAAGTAATCGGACATGCAGCCTTCTTGAAAGAGCTATTATGACACTCTATCCATGAACGGGAATCCTTGTATCTTGCAGCTCCCACCGAGATCCTTCTCCCATCTATGACAGTACCATTAAGATTATCTACTGCCCTTTTCAAACCAATCTCAGTCCCAAACTGCACAAAAGCAAAAGTAGAGAATCTGTATTTTGGATTTCTTGTTTCCTTTGGGATATAGACTCTTTGAATCGGACCATGAACTAGAAAAATTTCCCTTAACGCGCGTCTTGACACTCTCCGACTAAGATTATCCACAAACACCGTCCAAATCTCCTCAGAAAATTACTTACTTTTCCCCGTTTCTCTCTCCACTTCTCTAACTCAAAGTGTACTTGATTCATAAAATACTTTGTTATCAGTTTTTGTTTACTTGTCTGTTGATACTGCAGATTACTGGACTTGCTTTCTCATCTCTTGACTCGGATTACCTTTACGTACAAGGAGTTGACTATGAGGTGACTGCTTTTGAACTTGCAAGTTTATTTCCTTACGTAGTTATTTTCTAGCATAAAAGCATGAGTAGCATCTCTTTAAGTAGATTTAATATATTGCTGCTTAAGTTTATAATGACTGTTTGCAGGTCTTTTGTGGTCAGTGGCAAGAAAGCAGTAAGGTATTCTCATTTAGAGGAGACTCAAACTGGCTGGGGTTCAGTAAGGTAATTTGAGTTCTTTTATATATTCTGGATGAGTTCTGAATGTTGACACTTGCAGAGACAGACACCGGTCTCTGTAGGTCAGTATCAAGGTCAAATTCTGTCATGAAACCATCTTGATCTCTTTCTAAGGCCAATCTTGGGGTAGGGAGTGTGACCATAAAGACAGATTTATGCTGAAAACTGAGTTCTTTGAGGTTATGGGATTTTTAATACGATTTCCATTGCCTGGAACAATATCACTATAACATATTCTTTTTGTTTTGCATTATCCTAACATGTGGTAACTGTTGTTGGTAATTTGGTACTAATGGTAACTATAATTTGTTTAGTTCTTTTTAGTGATGTTCTGCTTTTCATCCTTTGTAAACCACCCAAGATATCTTTAGAAATGTTAAATGTGGATGTAATCTCAAAAAAATTTTGCATCTTTTTTCCTAGGTCTGCTTTCATTTAAACTATTGATGTTCATTCATTGGATAGAAGTCATTTAACTGATGATTATATCGTCGCTGCAGTGCTCTAACAGGGATATACTTGGCGGATGGTGTGATTCGGGTAGCATCTTTGTTGCCGACGTTGTAGCTAAAAGAGAGTGAAAGAGGCACCTTGAGAAGTGTTGTTATCACAATTTTCCTAGTGGCGATTCATTGGCCTGGTTTTGCCAATGTCAAGCCGTGCTTTTAATGTCAATCCTGATTATCTTGGTGGCCATCCCCCCTAAAGTAGCATCAGTTGAGGTTTGAAGCTAGACTATGCATGAGTTTTGTGCAATTCAGCCAATAGTTCATTGTAAGGTATGTTACATACAACCTACACATAAATTATTGATTTTACAGTAATACATTCAGTAAAAGGTGAAGTTGGTTTTTTCCCCCCTGGTTTTATTTTACCTTATCCAATAAATATTCGGGTTTTTTTTTTGTATCATACTGGATCAAGAGGCCTTAAGCTCTTCCTTGAACTGATCCATCCAACTGATAGGTTTGGTTATATGATTCGTGCACGATTTTTTGATACTATAGTTATAAATTCCCTTGAAGCCCTGAGCTGATAATTTAATTTACTAGAAATACTCTGCACGATGTGGGTCAATAATTATAAATAATTATAAATTTAAAAATAATAAAAGAAATTAGATAATTGTTTTTTAAAGTTAAAATAGTAAAGAAACTGTTGAATATTTTTATATTTTTTACAGTCATATGTTTGTATTGTTTAAAACTAATGTTTATACTGTTGATAATTCAACTGTTTTAGTTAAGTTGAATTATATATATATATATATATACGAGGAAAGTGAGTTAAAAAATGTGTTTAAGAGAAAAGTTTCTGGTATTTTTGTATAAATTTACCTATAAAATTTTAAGAACATTAGACACTTAACCGATGAGTGGCCAAAAAGTGAAATTCAAAATTTGGTTGGTAAAACTAAAATTTTAAAAGTTTGGTGACTAAAATAAAATTATAATGAAAATTGAGAAACTAAATGCATAATTTGAACTATGTTTATTTATTATTATTGCTTATTTATTATTATTTTTAAATAGTATGCGATAATTATTAGATAACATATGTTTATAATTTTTTTAGTCATTAATAATATATAATGGTAAAATCACATGGGGCTTGGAAGGGGGATATGGCTTATAGTCATACACAAAGTCGGATAAAAAATTAATTTTGATCAGATAAAAATCGGTCTGGTTTTTTCATTTAGCCAAAAATTTGGATTTTAAAAAAATCAGTTCGGATCTTAACCGGTTTGGAGGGCGGGATGCTGTAACCGGTTTTTGTTTGAAAAAATCGGTTTTTAAAAAAAACTGGATATAAAAAAATCGGTGTTGTGTAATAAGATTTGAGAAAGTTGTAATCAACTAAATATACCCCCAATCTATTTATACATGTTTAGGGTGATAAAATGATGATTTTTTTTAGAAAAAGGTCACAAAAAACCATAACGGCTAGTTTTTAAAACCCCAGACCGTATTTTTTTGAGATAAAAACCTGTTTTTTATCCGGTTTTTTTCAAACCAATTTTAATCCAGTAAAAAAACCGATCGTCCAATTTTTTCCTAAACTGGTTATACTATCCGGTTTAAAAAAATCAGTTTTCCCAAATCTAATTTCGGATATTTTTTGCGCAAAATCGGATATTTAGACTTTTTGTGCACCTCTAATGGCTTACGCAAATTTATGGTTTAATTGTATTTTAAGTCCTTAAAATTTTTAAAACCATTAAAATTAAGTCCTGATCCTCCTAAAGTTTTCTGTTTTAATTATTTTTTAAGATAAAGTTAAATGAAATTAAGTTTTGCCTCTAACTTTTTCTGTTTAATTACTTTTTAACACATGACAAATTTGAAATTAGTGAAATTAAGCTCCAATCCTCTGTTTTTTGTGGTTTCATTACATTTTAGAACCTTTTTAATTTTAAAGATAAGCAACTTGGTCCATCTCATAATTCCTCTCATAATTCTACCCTAATGCCAACCTTGACAATACACATTATTATTTATATATACAAAATTATTTGAATCCAAAATCTTTTAACATTCTGTTATACCACTTGACTATTAAAAGTTAGATGAATTCATTAAAAATCTTTAACATTCACTAAGAAAATGTATATGTGACAATGATGGGCCATGCTTTTGGGTGGATATACCCGTTATTATTTCCAAATCTTGGACAATTCTTTATTATAAAATAAATAAATACAGGGTAAAACTTCATCAATTTATATCCAATTAAATCTTTCAAAAATTTACTTGCATTTAATAATAGTATCAAAAATTACTATCTTTGGTTTGTGTGCAACAAAATTTTTAAAAAAAAAACAAAGGACCATGTGATTTTGAATCTTTAATTTGACGCTTTCAATAAATCAACTTGATTAAAAACATCGATTTATTAGCATCTTTTAAAAAAATATTCTAATATTTTTTTAATTATGGTAAGATGATTACAAAATAATATATGTTATGGATACTTCGAATTATTTGACAATGAACACCTAATCACTATTGTAGACGTTGATGCTCAAATTCATCACCTCTAAGAATAATAACGATTCCTTTAATTACTTAGATAAATTGGTTTGTGCTTTTATTTAAAATTTAAAACCAACTTCTTGAATTCCCATAATCAAGTTTCTTATCCAAGAAAAATGCCATGTAAACCAATTATCTCTATACATACAAATTCAACTTACAGACAAGAATTTAGACCGTTGAATTTATCAAACACAACAAAATGAAACGAAATTTACATTCATTAACACCCAAGGATATTAGAAATTCAAAAGAATCAAAATAATTAACAGAAGATTATTAGATAACATGATCATCTTTTCCTCTGATGATCACGAACAGGAGATGAGTGCTTGCTTCGGACAGCCTCGGATTTTTGTACATGATCCTTCTTCTTTGTTGCTCTTCTTGCCTTACTGCAACTCTCTCCTTGTATTGTAGGAACTATGTACCATCCAATACAGGTAAACAAAACCGAAACTGATCTTCCAAAGAACACTAACAACACCAAAATCAATACAAAAAATGCTGGTAAATAGTAAGAAGGCCGCCTCCATGAAAACCACTTCTTCTTCTCATGGGTGTTTTCACTATCAAGTTGCAATCTTGATATCTCCTTTATTACATCTTTGGCTTCTTTCAAGATTTGCATTGGATGCTTATCCTCCGGTTGATGATTACCTTTGGTTTCAAGGGGTTTCGTTTTCGGTTCCCGTTTCTCGTCTTTGAGCTTTACAACGACAGGGACACAATCCGTGGAGTTTTTGTACATAAAACGAAGTAATGTAATGTCTTGAGACCCTGTTTGTAAGTAGATCTCTCGCCTCTTGTCCTCTAGATCTGATAAAAGTGCAGAAAACTTGTCGAGACCACGATTGGAATACGGATTCTTGATGTCTTTGTTATGACTCTTAGAGAGTCTGGATTTTTCTTGGTGTGGAATTTGGGGAGCTCCAAAGCTCATTATCATCATCTTCTTGATGGTGGTTGAAAGCTCCGCAGATTAAAGGCTGAAACATCTGAAACTGAGTTTGTGGAGAATGGATATTTTGGCCAGGATTTTGGATTTTGTTGAGAATATAAAGTCATTTCACATGACTAGGTCCAACACCTAGAAGTTCTTCCCAGTAAAGAGAAGTTTCCCACACGATAATGGATGATTGTTTACCTTTATAAATTATTTACGAAACTAAGCATTGCTTGGGGAAGACTGCTTGAAACGCTGCTGGGTTTGACTTTTCATCAAAAGAATGATGCAATTAGTATTATTCTATCCTATAATTTTGTACATTGACAAAGATTGGATACATGTAAACTTTTTTAATTAAATTTTAAAGTTAATCAAATTACCGAGTAATATTCAAATCCATCCAATATTTGTATTTAATAAGTATAAAGATATTTTTTAAGGTTTTAGGTTCGAACAATGCATATGCAAAAGTATGAGCGTTATTGTCAAATAGTTATATATCTTTAAACAAATGTTACATCGTATTCGCCCTAAATTTATCAAATAAAAAAGTATAAAGATAAAATTCTTAAGAGTACTAGTGGTGAAAAGAAATTTATTCTCTTTTAATCGCCCAAATTCGTGTAGTCTATAAAAAATTATTATTCTTTAACGATTTGAGTTCGAACAACACAGTCTACATGCATACATGAGTTTAATTGTTTAAATTTAGATTTTAAAAAAAGTAATAAGCACAATGAGAGAAAGTAAAAGCTTTGAAAAGAAAATGTAAAATGTAAAAAATATTTGTACTTACTGGAATACAAAACTGAGTGGATTTAGATAATTGATATCCCAGCATTGATATTCTCATCCCTTGCAGATAAAAATTAGAATATCTATATATTGCATATTCAAGTTCTAGAAACATAAATTGCATATCCAAAAACATGAATGTCATTTTCAAATTTTCAAGTTAGATTTGTACGAGTATGACCTCATCACTTTACCCAAAGTTGGGTTTTTTTCTTTTTCTTTTTGCAATTATCCAAACGAACATCTATTTTGACTTTTTTTTTCTTCTAGAAAAAAGATTGAATCAAGAATTCAATCAGAAAAATGAAGGCAAGAATATGAATAAACACTTAGATATCACGTGCTATATAGAAAATCTTCGAAGGTCATATGGTAAGACCACGACTATATCATTAATGGTAATCCAAATAACATTATCATCGTATGGATTACAAAAACCGTTGCTTTGAAACCTTTTTATTAGTCTGAGTGATTATAAAGTAGTATATGTTCAAAAGACTTTCAATCATTTGAAATACTCTGGCAAACAACGTACTCGAACCCAAAAATTCTAAGAAAAGTTAAACATTTAGAGAAAAGTTAATGTAATATGTAAATTATTAAAAACTCAAAACACCAACACCATGTCTCCACGTTTGTTGCATAAAAGAGAAAAGGTCTGTGAACAAAAGTTTATTGCATAAAGAAAATCATGCCTCCACGTTGCTTTAATTTATTAAAGGGTAAGTTTCATTTCTTTTTTTTTTTTTTTTATAAAACACCAACACAAACTGAATTCAGGTTTAATAAGAGAGGAGAACAGTATCGGCATATTCAAATACCTTAAGAACATCAGTTGAGATAATCAAGTCCGAGTTCATAAAAATCACATATAAACATGGAAAAAAGCACATTAAAGGTAGCAACTCACTGTAGGAAGTTCGGTGCACGTCATCCCATCAAAAGGCGTTGTCAACCTTCACCATGATCAAAATCTTCATCATCCTTCATGTACTTCTCTTGCACCGCTGCAGCTGTGAACTGATTCATTAAGAAAAACTTGCTAAACAACCAATTAATAAACACTTTATTAGACAGACTCAATTGCTAATGGGAAATGATAGCATGATCGCAGTAAAGTATTTCATAATGCATGTTAGGTAGCTTTTGCAGGCTATATAAATTAGAGCATATTGACAAATTGACAATCCATAAAAGGATATCTGTAATAATCCCAATCAACTTGTCGTACTGCAATCTTGCTGAATTCCACTGCACTGGCATCTATACCAGCAAATATGTATCCATTGCTCTTATCAATAAGCTTCACAAGATTCCCGACACTCTCCTTATCCTGAAACAAGAATCCAATTCACAGCAGATCTACATAAAACTAAAAGCACAGAAGCAAGATTTAACTCACTAAAGATAAAGTTAATGGCATGCCTGAATATCTAAGGTTGTGAAATTAACAAGACTGAAGTCTTCAATTACGTTGCAAAGCTCCTCTGTAAGTTTTCTGCAAGAAGAAATTAGATGACTAAGAGAGCTCAAAGTTTGGGAAAACTAAGATTTAGATTGAAATGATCACAACTAGCGAAAACTTCATGACAACCATTTATAATTACATTTCATACAAGCAATTCAATGCCAACCCTTTGAAGAATCCAACTTATAGGCGATATTATCTCACCATTAATATGAAAATTAGCATTCCAGTGTAGAACTGAGCACAAGTTAATGGATCATAGTCCAAAATGACGAAACAAAATTAAGGATATACAAAAGAAAATTTCCAAACTCAACCAAAACCTCTTAAGATGTAAACTTATGAAACAGAAATATTCATGTCTTATGCATTGTGAAAAATGCAAAAAAATAAAAAGTCTCTATAACAAACCTATACTTAGCAGAGCGGGGATCCTGATCAAGATGGTGCTGTAAATATGATAAATCTTGAACATCCGTATAGAAATCCAGATTGAACGCTGCATCACATCCAGATAAGATGAATAACCTTGACTACCAGCACTTTGAGGTGTGTAACATAATTAATACTTCACACACACTCACCCAGCTTTCCATAGTTTTCAATTAGGTCAATCTTAGAGAGCACGTTGATGTGTGGCAGCTCCAAGTGCAACATGGTAGATAATGAGAGAAGCAAGGCACTAACATACTTCCCAGGGTCACTGCATAGGTGAGCATCAACTAAATGTACAGCCGTCAACTGCATAAAATAAATCACTCAGTTTTCTACAGTTCTAACATTAAGATTACACACAGAGATCACCTTTACTGTCAGCACCCAATGACATGGAATACATGTAAGCATACCCTAAGATCCAACTTTTTAATGAGCTTCATGACAACATTCTTGGCATTTGAGTGAAGGAAAAATAGTTCAACCTGCCCCGGAAAATCGAAAAGAAGATAGTGTTCTGCATATTATAGAAAACATTAGAAATTTAACAGCAACAAGTACAATAGCCTACTAATCCCTGCATTATATCAGGGTACAGTGAAGAAATATAGAGATATATGAACCAATAACCTCACTAATATACCTACACTAGAGTGCATTAGATATCAAATAGTTTCTCGCATTGATTATATCGTTACAAACATATAAAAAAGCGCATTGTAGCCCAAAGTAGAAATTCAAATCATTAAGCATTAATATGTATTACTGGTTACTGCCTTGTACATGTTCCCATTGTTAGTTTCCTAGAGCGAGTAAAAACAACAAACACATAAATGCCTAAATTCGACTGTTCAATCGTGCTTGAGGCCCCACATGAATGACAAGACCGAATCTTTCTGCATGAATCAATCCCCACATGTCATCCTCTTTTGAGAAACTCATATGGTCTTTCATAGCTAGATGCAAGCTATGATAAGAACTTAAAGTTCTGAGAATAAGAAAAGGCAGAAGATACCAACCTTTCAAAAGAGGTTCCAGTTTAGACTGCAACCAATCAATATTTTTCTCTAAATAATCCATACAGTAGACAAGACCTGATTGCATATGAAAAACATACTCTATCAGATAATCAAACCATAACAAGTACAAACACAATTTATTTGCACTGTATCCTGCAGCAAACCAGCAAATACTGCAAAAGTGTATAGGCACTAATATCTTTAGGAAAGATTAACAAAACAGGAATCTAAGGTTCTGATTCACCAAATTTTTTACTGCTCAACATAGAATCCATTAAAAGGAAAAATAAGTAAAACATCAACCCTTATACGGATGTCACTGCCTTGATTTACTAATTTTATGATTTAGCTGACTGGAATTTCTAAATCCCGTTACATAGCAGTAGCCTAAAAGAAAGGAGTAACCAAGTGAAAACAGAAGTACCTCCATTAGGCCCCAAAGAGTGTTCTGTCATCACATCACCTAGTTTTATGAGATCCTCAATATTTACAGCACACTCATAACTACACCCATGTCAAGGAAAGTTCATATGGATAAAACTTTCAGGAAAGGAAAACAACATTACAAATAAGTTTCCAATAGGAAGGATACGGTAATGAATCATTGGCTGGATCCAAATTGATTACAGCAACTTTTCTGCAAAACAATGGCATAGGAACATTAACTTCTGCCATATTTAACAAATATATCAAACATGTGAGCATAAACAAATTCAGAAACTAGAAACGATGAAACAGAAACAACCTTCCAATAAGTTTAAGGAACTGGGACATGCCATTGCAGTAAGTAGTCTTTCCTGATCCAGGTGGACCAATCACAACTTGCCCAAACACCATCCTAGTTGTCTCTATAGATATTTATATTGGAATTGATTTTTTTCCAACTCAAGGGTTCCTACAAGAAGAGGTAAATGATTTCAACAACCGATAGTGTTAGGAACCAAAAATATGTACAGAATTATCGGTCTTAATACGAATTTACACTTAAAAAACTTGTAGCAAATTTCATCTAAATTGCTTTAATCTTTTAATTCGCTGCTGATATTCCAATGGGAAAACCCTTCCGGTGTATTATACTACATGGAAAAGCTATAAGAAAACAGCACAAAATGTTAGATTTAAAGTCTAAAGCAGATAATTTATTGTAAATTCCTTAAAAAACCCAAAATTTGTATGCTCAAAATCAAACATGTACGAGAAATCAAAGTGATTTTACCTGTAGTGATCGCTGAAGCCGTTTCGCTTTGGTTTAGACTAGAGAAAGAATGTCTCCGAGTTGGAAGTTGCGAGACGTTACAGTTGAGCCTTTAGGGTTTTGGATTTAAGCGTCCAGAACCAGGAGGGAAAGGAAAGGCCCAATCAGATCAAAAAAATTACTATTTTATATGTAGAAGAGTTTGGGGCGTCCCGAAAGCGAGAATCATATCACCGCCCGGATATCTAAAAATCGTTTACTTTATTTTATTAATTAATAAAGGCTTAATAAACCTATTTTTTATCAATATAAATTTGAGTTCAATATATAAATAGTATTTTGATTATAAGAGATTTTTTGTTGAGTTATTTAATTATTAAAAGTTATAAAATAATTTTTTAATTATAAGGAGTTATTTTATTGAGTCTCTCGACTATTAAAAGTTACAAAATGATCATTCAATTATAGAGAATTACTTTATTGAGTTTATCGATTATTAAAAGTTACAAAATGATCCTACAACTATAGGACGTTGCTTTATTAAGTCTCTCAACTATTAAAAGTTACAAAATGATCCTCTGACTATAGGGTATTGTTTTGTTAAGTCATTTGACTATTAAACGTTGCAAAATGATCCTTTGACTATAGGGCGTTGCTTTGTTAAGTTCTCTGACTATTAAAAGTTGTAAAATAATCTTTCAACTATAGGGTGTTGCTTTATTAAGTCCATCGATTATTAAAAGTTACAAATATTCACTTGACTATTTGTATGTTCCAAACTCGTCCTTTCCCGTTAAAAAATTAACGGTAGTCTGAGCTAGACATTAACATGTTGATTGAATATGCTAAAATATAATCCTAGAATCTCAAACAATTATCATATCTAGGTTATCATTTTAACATTCAGTTCAAACGACCATCAACTTTTTACCAAAAAAAGATTAGTTTGGAACACATGAATAGCTATATGACCATTTTGTAACTTTTAATAGTCGTGAGACTCAACAAAGCAAATCATATAGTCAGGTGACCATTTTATAATTTTTAATAGTCGATAGACTCAACAAAATAACATCCTATAGTTGGGGACTATTTGTGTACTCTATCCTATAAATTTTTAACGTTACAAATATTATCATTTTAAATGTCTGATTCACTATGGTTGTTAAAAAAAATTTCCGACAACCCTCAAAATGTGATACGTGACGTGATTATAATTTTCAAGAAATTTTATTTAAAATTAAAATTATTATTATTTAAAAAAACCTCCAAAGTTCTCTAAAATCTAAAAAAAAAAAACAAATCCTAAAATCTCTAATCTCAAAGTACCAACTCCATCGCCAGCCACCAGTTGCCATCGTCACTGCCGATGACTGTCTATTCATCAATTGTTAGACCCTCAAAGCCAATCAAGTTACAGTGGGAAGTCTGATACTTTTTCATGCGCTGAATTATTACCCAAATCCATTGTTGCATGATTGGTGCGCAAATCATAGAATCCATTTGTGATAGAAATTTTGCTCAAATCACAAAATCGTTTTTGTGATTGAAATTCTTGCATTTGTTCGTTCGTTACCTGGTTACAATGGTGGCCGCCGACGGCTGATGGATGATCGTCGACAGTGATGATAGTGGGTGGTGGAATGATTTTTGGGGTTCGAGTTTCTAAATAATATTTTAGAGTTTTATAAATTTTAGGATATTTTGTGGGAAATAGAAAAATGATTTTTTTTTTAAATTTATGAACTTTATTTTTTTTTAAAAATTAAAAGAAATTAAAAATTATACCACATGTCAAATATTGATTGGTTGATTATTTTTAATAAATTTTTAACAGTTATCACGAATCAGACACTTTAAAAAGTTTAGACACCTAAACGAGAAAAGATACATAGTTTGAACATTTTTTATATTAACTTATTAATAATATGTTTAATAGTATCTAAGACCTTCAAACTTTTTCCAAAAAAATCCTAATGTGGCCCTAGAACTATTTTGTATTTAATGTGGTCTTTGACTAACATTTCCGTTGTCGATCGTTACGATATCGATGTGACAGTTCACGGTGATGTTGTGATGGTCACAGCGGCTAGTAACGTGACATATGGACTAAATTGATTTTTTTATCAAGTTTGAGTGCCAAATTATTTTTGTAAAGTTCAAGGACTTATTTAATATATTTAAAATAAAAAATTATTTTAAATTTCAAATATAATATAAAAATACTCAAATATTCAAAATAAAATTAAATATTAAAAAAATTAAATTAATATTTTTTAAATATATACTAAAATACTAAAACACTTAAAAAATTTTAAAAAAAATAAAATATAAGGTAAACTATACACTTAATGCTTAAACTATCAATTTTGTTTTGTTTTAATGCTTAAACTTTTATTTGTTTCAAAAACATACCTAACATTTTTTCTTCATTTAAGTACCCGTCATTAAAAACTTAATGACACTGTGCACGTTTTATGGGTAAATTACATAATTTGTCACTTAACTATCTTCTCACTCCTATTTTGGTAACTAAAGTTTAAAAATTTTAACTACTCAACTTTCAAATTACTCATGTTTTAATCACTCTAATTTATTTTATTAATAATTTTCGTGACATGTCATTTTTTGTTATTATTTTTTGATATATAATTAAAATAAAAAATTAAATTTGAAAGTTAGTGATTAAATTAGGAGTAATATAAAAGTTAAGTAATTAAATTAAAAAAATAAAATTCAATGACCAAAGTTAAGTAATTTGATGTAACTTACCCATAAAAAGGTGTCATGTTGTAACAGTTCTACTAAATTTTTAACGGGGAGGTACCGTAACAGAAAAAAGTAAACGTTAGGTATGATTTTAAAACATATGAAAGTTTAGGTATTAAAACGAAATAAAATTAATAGTTTAGGTATTAAATGTGTAGTTTACCCTAAAATATATCACAAACTATCGATAATAAATTATTAATATTAAAAAAATTTAAAAATATATATTATACATACTATATGTTGAAACATATAGACACAAAACAAATCAATCGATTTATATAGTAAAATTAATAAAGCTAATATAATATTAATTTCATACACTTACCAACCATCCAGTATTCTGATTAGATTGGTCTAAACTTACGAATTTTGCGCCTAATATAGTTAGAAAATTGTAAGTAGTGTTTAAGTAAAACTCTCAATCCTAATTTATCTTTAAAACTATATTCTAATTTATAGAAAAGATGATTCCTATATTATATAGGTCTCTAGTTCATGCATTTCAAAATTCCATGTATTCTTTTTGTGTAATATGCAATTGTTCTTTGAATAAAAATAATTTTAGAATAAAAAACCATGTTTACTAGAACAGAAAAACTTTGTTTACTAGAGTCGGAAAACTATGTTTCTACATGGTATCAGTCATCGCGTCGATCCCAGCTTGCCGCCGCCGCCGTTCGTCATCCTTCCGACAAGCAGTGTGCCTTTTGTGAACTGTAATTCTTCCATTTGTGAAATCCTTTCCAGTTATGTCCTCTTTGCAGCACTACCCCTTCACAGCGATGTATTCCTTGCTGTGCAACCACAATAGTGTCGCTTCTATCGTAGCACTACTCTCCTCGCCATACTACTCTTGTCGCGACACCGGTCTAACATTGTCCTCATCACAACGGTAACCCTTCTTGTTCCACTGTTTGGTACCTATTATGCCGCTATTGATAAATGTCCGACCAACACTGTCTCCTCGCCACACAACCCATTCAATACTCATTCTAGCGTCGATCTCCTCAAATCTCCGATTATCACTTATAGTAGTGTTCCCTGCTAGTTCGAGACATATCCCAAGCTCTCAATTCCTCGACAGTCATGGCATATCCTTCTTCGTCCAAGTCTGCCTGCACTGTTAGTGAATGTACTTCTCATTTTACCTTCTTATCCCCTTCATCAGGGTGTGTCTCTTGGATTGTCGATTCCGGAGCAAGTGATCATATGACAGACAACTTTAATTTATTTTCCATATTTTACAAAAATGATATCTCATGCAATGCTCGTACTGCTGATGGCACCCTATCACCAGTTAAGGGCAGTGGCTCAATTCACATTAATAGCCATATTACCCTGTCTAATGTTCTATTTGTTCCAAGTTTGACTTGCAATCTTCTTTCGATTAACAAATTATCTACCAATTTGGGTTGTACTTCTCATTTTACTCGTGATTATTGTGAATTTCAGGATTTGACCTCGGGATGGTGATTGAGAATGCTAAGCGTCGTGGTTGACTCTACATCCTTGACGCTCCTCCTTATACTCTCGTTCCCAACCACTCACATGCACCATTTATCTCTTCTTTTGTTTTAATTTCTCCCACAAATGCAGCTGTCGACATTATGTTATGGCATTTTAGGTTAGGCCACCCACATTTTTCTAATCTTGCAAATTTTTTTCCCAAATTATTTATCAATAAAAATCACGCATCATTTTCTTGTGACATTTGCTCACTTACAAAACACATTCAGAGTTCTTATCCCCCTTCTCCCTCTCACTCGCCTAAACCTTTTTCCTTAATTCATAGCGATATTTGGGGACCTTCACGGGTTACGGGTTTACATGGAATTCATTGGTTTATTACTTTTATTGACGACCACTCTCGTACCATTTTGACCTTTTTTATGACGGACAAACCTGAGTCTTGTACCATCTTTAAACGATTCCACAAAATGGTTGAAACACAATTCCAAAGTTCCATTGGCATCCTTAAATCTGATAATGGTGGGGAATACCTCTCTTAGTCGTTGGGATCTTTCTTCCAGGAAAACAGAATAGTCCACCTCAGTTCATGTATTGACACTTCATAGTAAAATAGGGTCGTCGAACGTAAAAAATGTCATCTTCTTGAGGTAACCCGAGCACTACTTTTTTCTTCTAATGTTCCAAAATACCTTTGGGATGAGGTTCTCTTAAGAACTACTTTTCTAATCAATCATTTACCTAGTGAGATTCTTGCCTTTAAGTGTCCAAGGGATATCATTTCCGCTAAATTCCCTCCCTTCAAACCTTTTACCTCTTCTGTTCCTCCTTGTGTCTTTGGTTGTACTGCCTTTGTCCATTACCACAATCTTCATAAATCTAAACTTGATCATAAGGCAATTCGGTGTGT